ATTTTCGGGTTTTAAATAGACCTGTGCGCCGCCGCGCCACGCCGCCGCCGCCGACGATTTTCATACGCCGCCGCCGCCGATGAAATTGAGCCGGCGCGCCACTGCAGAAAAATCGTTCACGCCGCCGATGTAATTTATGTCACGCCGATGAAAAATCCGCAACACCTTTTCGATAAAATGCATCTTGAACGCGTTGAAATTAGAACTTATGTGCACACTCGTTCATGGCTACTCAAAATTGAGTGAAAAACCACTGAATTTCATTGAAACCGGATCTACTCTAAATTTAGTAACATAGTCAGAACTAAATTTTGAGTAAAACGGCGTTTCTTTTCTTTCTTTTTTTCTTTAGGATTAATAAACCAAAAACTGAAAAGCATTTTAATCAAGCATTTTATTTTAAATAAAACAGATTGTAAAACAATTACCACGGCGGCTGCAATTTGCACCATTTTTGAATGATTTCTTTCGAAATTCGAAAGGCAAACTTCGTATTTTTCAGGACTGAAAAATTTCATTACAGCTAAAAAAATACTAATATGAATTATGAAGCAATGATATATTGTTATAATAATTTTTATATGTAAGATACAAGAAGAGGAGGTAAAGTTTGTGTATGATACATAAAACCTTTCAATTTCACTTGCAGAGTGTCGCAATTAGCTATTAGTTATAACGAAGGGTACTCACTCATTGAAATATCTCATTTAATTATGACCCTCTGAATGCAAAATTGACAGTTTTTATGTGTCCTACACAAACTTTACCTCCTCTTCTTACATAAAAAATATTATTAAAATATCTCAAAGTTTCATAATTTTGAAAAGTAGCGGTTTAGCTGTATTAAAATTTTTCAGGTCACTATTCCATTTGTTTTTTTTTTGAGTCAACAAATGGGCTGAAAACTCAACATTTAATCCGCCTTTATTTATTTATTTATTTATTTATTTTTGCGTCAATGTTACTCATATTCAAAAATCCCAACTACTCATGCTTTGGCGTTTAAAAAGAAGTTATGAAAATGAATACGTCTGACGCATGTTTGAGTAACCTCTAACAAGCCTGAGGCAGCGATTTAGCGTCATTTAGTTTTTTGACGTTTGTTCGCACTTTCTCTATCTAGCACACAGGGATGTATACACGAAGATGTATACACACAGGGATGTATATACGGATCCAAGGGGTAAGTCACTCAGCACATTGTGCCACAATTAGATTCGGCATAGCTTGAGCACATCCATCGGTACACCTTTGGTACAATCTCGTAGGCATTTTATTGTTGTAAATAAAATGAAGGAACTGCTGGTCACTGAAATTGTTCAAAACATTACGTGCTGTTTGGTTATATATTCATGAACATCCTCTTATGAGATATACCTGAGGAACTCAGACCGACAGTTCACTTCTTGGTTCACTTATAGATTTAAATCTGAAATGCCGCTATACCGATTTATCCTTGCAATTTCAAACCAAAACATTCCAGGTGTCAGAAATACCGGGTTGCCGCGATGGGTATTTTACAAAAAAACCGCAGCTTGCTCTATGACTGGCACAATCGGCACACCTGCGGCACACTAAAAAAAAAGATGACCCAAGATTGGTGTGTGGAGTGACCTACCCCTTGGATAAAGCATTATTTGTCCTCCAGTTCACTGGTTTCGTCTCGATAAGTTTGCTTCTGCCTCACCTATAGATCCTGCACATCGGTCTCGTCTCAGTTACGCATTTGATTTTTGACGTTTTGGTTCTCATTCACGACAACTTCCACGATGTCGAATTTTAATTTAAATAAAATTCCTTTGAATTTTCTGTCGATTGATACTTCGAGAGGAAAAAACCTTTCAAGTGATTCGCGGAAATACTTTGGAAAAAATATGTATACTAAAAGTGAGGAGAAAATACATATCCAGAACAACATGTGAAAAGGGCATACAAGCTTTTTGTAAACAAACCTTTTTATGCCCTTTTCTCGCCACCCATATGACACCAACGCAAACCTTTAACATCACCGGGTAGGGGACACTTTCCCCTTCCCGATGATATTGCTGGTTTGCGTGGGCGACCCTCGGTTGGTGAGAAAAGGGCCTACAAAGGTTTGTTTACAAAAAGCTTGTATGCCCTTTTCACATGTTGTTCTGGATATAGTGAAGGAGAAAGTGTTCTGCTCGTTATGCATGTCAGAGGCTTACAAGAGGCCAGGTGATACCGAAGTCCGGAATTGTAAGTCGAAAAAAAAAAAAATCAGACAAATATTAACCGATATCGAAGAATCTGGAGATTGGCTTGATATGGATGAGCAACACCCGTTATCTATTATGGAGGAGCAGCTAGATGGCCAATGAAACGAATATCAATGTTCAATTTGACGGTGGACCTAAATAAGCCCCAACACTTAAAACAATCACCGTAACACGTTGGCATTACTTACTTAAGATGATGAAAAGTCTCGAACTGAAGAGAGCTGGCGTGAATGCTTTATTGAACCGTCTTAATAAGCACGATCTCATATTGACAGGCGCTAGTTGAAGACTTGCGAAACTTTTTTGAGCCGTTTGAGGTGAGTTTTTTTAAAGTCGTGGTTCTGAAACTATAATTCTAGATAGAGCTGGAATAAGGGCGTAAAACCTTTTGTAAACAATAACTTCTTTCGATAATATATAGAAAGTTAAGGCAAGTCAACACAAATAAACATCACCATCGGATAGGGGAAGACTTCCCCTACCAGACAGTTATGTTGGTTTGCGTGAGAGTGCTTTTGATTTTTTGATTTTTTAACATTTGAAAAGCGCATATTTTTAGTATAAAAACATCAATAACTCTTGATCGACGAAAGATATTGACAAGCTTTCTACAGCAAAAATTTGCGCCTTCTAAAGATCTAAAAGTCGTTTTAAGATACCTTTGCTGAGAAATTTGAAATAAGAAAACTAGAGCAAAATAACTGTTTTTTAGCACCACCCTAACTCAATTCAAGAAAATAGCTCTAAATCGGCCAATTTAAGAGACACAAAAAAGTTGTTTTTAACAAAGTTGCTTGAAATTACCTCAGCTATAACTTTGCCGAAAAATGTATACCTTAATTTATTCAAACAAAAAAGTTAGATTTTTGATTTTAATGATAATAAGAACCACCCTAGAATTCATTATCATTGAAATGAGGGCCTAACTATAAGGAAAAACTTTGTAGAAAAGACTTTTAGCGGAATTCACTAATATAAATGCATTTAAAACGCATCAGTGTTCTTCCAGTTAATCTTGACATTTTGAAATTGTATCATTTTGGCAGAAAATGAGCTTTAACTGAAAAATTGTCTCAGTCAGTCTCAGTCTCATTTATCGCTATCAACATGTTCAATAAATGAAAAAAATCCTAGGGCTCATTACATTGGTACATAATGCAACAGATTGCTTTTCAATACTATCCACCTCTACATAACGTACTTTTCTTATACTTAATAAAAGGGTTGTAACACTTTGCCATACGACTCTACCCCCTGCAATTTTAATAAGCATTTGACATACTTTGAGAATGTCTCAAAATTGAGAACGACTCAAAAATGAGTAAGAGTTACTCATATTTGAGTACCGGTTACTCAAATTCACGAAAACGTAGGTCACTCATAGAATGAGTCAATTTTCCGACGCTTTTCCGAGGAAAACATCTCGGATATGAGGAAAACTGAATATGGTTTTAGTCTGTCCACTAGTGCACTTCTAACCTGTGTACAATTTTCTTAAATTTTCCCCATATTTAAGAAGTTTCCGCGGGAAAGTGTCGCAAAATTTATTCACACTATGAGTGACCTACGTTTTAGCGATTTTGAGTAATCTGAACTCGAATGTGGGTAGCATTTTTTGTACATGTGCGGTTGGCTTGAAAAGTATTTTTTTTTTCTAAATCATTAAAAATAAACTCACGCCGACCCACGCCGCCACGCCGCCGCCGCCGAAAGCAAACGGCGTGACGCCGCCACGCCGCCGCCGCCGGTAGAAAATAACATATCACGCCGCCGCCGAAATTTTTTTGATCGGCGCACAGGTCTATTTAAACAGATTACACAGATTTTTAAATTATGATCTAACATTCCAAAAAGAAAACTTAAGTTGTTTAAAAAACACAACTTTAATTTTCACTTCAGAGCAATTTTTCATCATCTACTCTAATATCTAATTTTTTTCTGCCGGATAAAAAAGGATAATGAGAACTGTCAGAAGTATTATTTTTTTGCAATGTCAAAGGTAATTTATTATGCATAAATTTTTATCAGTTTTATGTCTCTATCAGCTTAATCGCTTTGCTAAGAACATTTTTAAAATGTTTAATTCATAAACTATTAACACAGATTTTCTGGACAAAAAATAAGATGAAAAGATTTTTTGGTTAAAAAAAACAAAGATTTGCTTTTGGCAACTCTGGTCGTACTTGACTTTGTTGTTTACTCCACCAACGGCTTTCCTACCGTTGAGAGCGCGATTACTAATCAGGTATGTCAGCCGATGGCGATAATAGCAATAACACAACTGATAAAAATGCCGGCCGGTTTCTCACGCCATCTGGTTTAAAATATCGGCACATGTGGCGATTGCCTCGAGTTGAAGATTATGGGTAAGACGATCGCACCATCTCACATTGCATGCTACCTTCTTCTAATACTTAGCGAACAAGATCTGGTGATTTATTTTCGAACCGCATGCGTACGGATGATTTCATTGTGCATGAACGACAGCGTGATTGGGTACAAAGTCGAAGCGATTTCAGGTTGGCATTTACTTGAATGTGTCGCCCAGTATAGCTAGGAAAACCGCATTCACTTATTCATTGTTTACGCCCCGTGTCGCTCTGTCGAGGGGACGCCAATTGATGTAGACACATCGGTTGGCGTCGGTGTCATTGGGTTCAATTCGACTATTGTCACGTTCAATTTCAATCACTGTACCTACTACTGACTGTGCCTGGCGAACTAAACGACGTATGTTTGCATTTCATTTTCATTTCGCAGATCGATTCAGAAGAGGAAAAGCTACCTGACGAAAAGCATGTCGACAGGTTGGCCAAAACGCTACCCCAAGGAACGAACAAAACACCGGAGGTACTCGGTCATGCACTCAGTGGACTACCGGACAGGTAAGATCGAATATGTCTTTGTTTGTTTGTCTCTGGACTTAGGTATTTATCTTCAAAGTTTATATATAGCTTTGGCAATCAACGAGCTGTATTATCTCTGTACCTAATTGATTATGTGTTTAAGGCCATGTCGATTTTGTGCATTTTGTATAATTAGCAAAAGCACATAGTGACAAAAGGTGACAAAATCTGCCTAAAAAAAATCCTCTGAGATTTTTTTTTTCGATTGTATGGAAAATAATCACTTTTTGAAATACAGTAATACAGTAAGCGTCCCGTAACCTGACTTTTTACCTGTGCACCAACTTTCAAAACCAGATTGTGCGTGACAGCTTAGTTTTCAAGACTTGACCCATTAGAATAAATTTTGCTTCTATCTTTGACAATACAGCAGAAGCTGTAGTAGGTCACTTTTTAGTGACTAGGTCACTATTTTTAAGTCAGTCTCTAAAAAGTCACTTTTTGCACCAAAAAGTCATTAAAGTCACTATTTCCATAAAAATAGTTACTTAAGTCACTTTTTCCCATGTGAACAACATTATCACAAATTTTAAATTGAGTACTTGGCACTTAGGAAGTCTACAGTAGAAATATGCATATCTGTTTAAAAATAAACAATTGTTACCAGGGTGACCGGAAAAAAATCAAGGAAACACCGTGCAAAAAACTGCGAAAAACCTTGAATTTCGAGGACAAATCAGGGGAAATAAACTTACAAAAATACATAATGAACCTAGGAAACTTTTCAAGGATACTGGTCGGTGCTTGATTTTCAGAAGTCCTTTAAAAATTATCTAGAAATTTTAATAAAATTTCCAAAGAAAATTTTAAGAAAAATTCAAAGGAATTCTAGGGATGTCACCAAAATATTTCAGGGAAGAATACCAAACTACACACTATGAAATTTAGGTGCTCTGAGGGCCAATTTGTTCACCTCCGCTTAAATATTAAACCAGGTTTAACCATATAGTTTGAACTGGATTAAGGCTTAAGGAGGAGAAAAAATCGACACATACCAGCATCACTTTTGATATTAAATAATTAGAACGCAAAATTCAGCTCCAAAACAATGTTTGGATGAATGCCCTCCCCTTGGCTAGTTTTTAACCTGGACGTTGGTCGGTGGGCCTCATCTTATGCTTCATAGTGGAGCGTTGGAGACGGTTGGTTTAGGTCCGGCATCGTTGGCTCAAGCCGTGACAGAATAGCGTCATGAGCATGCGATGAGGATTACTGAGCTTCCCCTCTCTGATGAACCATTGCATAAGAGAACCAAAGTTCTAGCCTGAACTGATAGTATCACACTTGCTACTCCTTTATTTGAAAGCCGCGTTGTAGTACGCTTACGTATAGGCACTGACGTTGGGTGCGATACTGGCGGGTTTTTTCCGCAAATCACTCTTATTTTATTTATTTTTACGCAGATAGATTTATTTGGGCTTGCAAGGGAATTATACTATTGAAATATTTCAGAAAGTGCCCAACAGTGCTCCTTTTATTTGCGTGACAAGCTTTCATTGTTGTTTTTATTGAAGCATTACTCAGGGAACAGTGTTGAACACCATTTTTGTACATGGTATTGTAAGTAATCTTATATGTGCTTCATTTTGATTTGCGATAAGTGTTTGAACTATGGCTCGGGATTTCCACTGTGGCGTGCTTCTATTGTGACATATTCATACGTAATTTTGTGGGACGACTTAGTGGAAACGTGTGAGTGTAGTTGGAGCATATACCCTGTATAATTTAAAAATCAGCTAGGAAACTAATTTCAAAGTGAAGCATTTTAGTCACTTGAAGGTGTCATCTGGGTCGATCTAAGATATAATAAATATAGATCAAAGTCAAAGTCAAAATTACTTGAAACACGTTAAATTTTAGATTACATAGCGGTTTAGGTACTTAATAAAGCATGAGTTATGATTGATTAGGTAAATTAAAGATTGCAATTATTTATTAATTATGATTATTATGAGATATCATAATCATCAAACGAACAATAAGAAAATTTAGACAGCCTAATAACATTAAGTAGATTAACAAAAGAGTTAGGATGCGGGGGGTCCGCTTAGGGAGGCAACTAGCCTTTTCATATATTGTCTGTTTATTTTGATGGTTGCTTTAAAATATCAATTTGGTATATATGTGAAAGGATAAATCAGTGGGAGATAGATTTTCGGTTTCTTTACATTTGCAACACAAATCTAGTACTATGTGTCATTTCCTCAAAACCCCCCAATAACCGACCTCTTCAATCCCTTCCTTTTTCCATGGCGCTCAAGTGGTCCGGATAGACTATTCAGCCATTACCCTTCTTTTATCCTCGGCTTTGGATTGACTTGCGCTCCCATTGCCCCACCAAACGCTGCAAAATGAAAATGAAAAAGTATTTGGACTGGTCTCACCATGTTAATATCATCCTCCAATCCATGGGCTCCGTAGTTTTGTTTTTATCAATGGAAGGATCTGTAACAAGCCTGATTTCTATTGCACTTGCTCATACACATCCTCTTTAGTACCATAATGGATCCTCCTCTCCCGGTTTTTAAAAACACTTTTGCGTATATGACTTTACCAACTAGTGAACACAGGATATGGTGGTAACACGTGACATTATTGGAAACCTTTACTTAAATTCAACGGCCCTAAGGGAAAATTCTTACCGAAGCAAAAACGTGACAGCCAAATCGAAAATCAACCGCTCTCGAGCAGAGCCTACTGCCACTTCATCCATTTACATGTTTTATAAATGGTGACTTCAAACTTATGATCGGGAGTGCATATAATTTCTAGGTTAATTTCCTGTATGTTTTTGTCTTCAAGCGCATCAAAGAGGGGGGTTAGGGTACCAACACCCTCCCACCCAGAATTTTGAGGCAAATATATAAAATTATCTTTTTATACAAAATGTGTTCCAACCAGGGGTTGAAACAGTTGACTTTTTTTTTTACTACACTCGCTTCGTTTTCGTGCGCGACAGTCTGTTTGTATTAGTGCACTCGTACTCTACTGTCGTCTCTCTCACACAGCACAAACGGTAAAATAACATTCGAGCGAAAAGAAAATTATCAAATAGCTATCATATGACATGTGTGATTTCGTTCTAATTCCTCAATTTTGTGTAAAATAAACCATTTCTGATCAGAAATGTTATTACTAGGAAATCATTGCCTGCTATTTTCAAAATTCACACAAGCACAACATCAGCAGCTCTTTATTAAGAAAAAACTAAAATACATACATTCGTGAGGGTCTTCGGCGACAGTGTCATATGACATTTTAGTTTGGTACTGTACTATGATAGTTCGTTTTGCAAATGTCGGAGGCAAAAGAAGTCGATTATCACAGAAAATGTGTCGACTACCGTGACCGCTTACAAGACTGATTCCAACTATTACACTTTTCGTTCAATCCTATTGCATAAAAAATATCGATGAAAATTTCGTTTGTTCATGATTCCCCGATGAAAATTTTCTGTAGTAGAAGAAAAATGCAGGGGAAAGTTTTTTCTTTTAAACCGTAAATATTTTGGAATGCTGATTTTTAGCGTTTTATTCATTGTAAAGAACACCGTGGAATTATTTGAGCTGAAATGAATTCACTTATGAACTTGTGTACAACTAAAAAATATCCATAACCATTTAATTTTTATATTTTGATTTACCCCTGAAAGTTTTCTCCAGAAATTTTATCCATCTGCTCCAAGCAGTGTCATCTGCTAGGCTGAAAACCTCTTGAATAAAGAAAAAAGAGTCATCCGACTTCTCCAGAATTTTTGTTTTCAATTTTTTCCGATTTCTTTCGACTTTCTTCAGGAGTTCTTGTAACTGCTTCCGGAAGTTTCTTCTAATTTCTTTTGAAAGATTCTTCAGTCATTCCTGGAAAGTTTTTCTGTATTCCGCTGAAAGTGTCTTAAGGGGGGAAATACAAGTAACACGTCAAAAACTCGACGATTTTCGGATTTTTTTGTGAGCAAATGAAACAACGCAAACGTTTGGGGTTTTTTGCATTTTTTTTACTTACTTAAGGGTCCTATGCACCACCAGCGGTGCAAAGGGTCAACGTGAAAGACTTCCATCCTGGGCGGCTGTTCGCTTTTGTCTTGACCTGGATCCAGGTCAGATTCCTATCGACTTGCTTAATTTCTTTATTGAGGCTCCGCCGCCATGAGCCCCTGGGTCTGCCTCTGCTGCGATGTCCTGCCGGATTCCAATCCAGCGCTTGCTTGCAGATTTCGTTTCCGCCCCGTCGAAGTGTGTGGCCGACCCACCTCCACTTTCGCTCTCGAATTTCTGTTGCTATCGGCTTCTGATGACATCGACGATGGAGCTCGGCATTCGAGATCCAGTTGTGAGGCCACCAGGCACGAATTATATACCGCAGGCATCGGTTGATGAAGACCTGCAGCTTTTGAGTGTTCTCCGCTGATACACACCACGTCTCGCTGGCGTATAACAACGCAGATTTCACGTTCGTGTTGAAAATTCGGATTTTGGTGCGTTGACTTATCTGGTTGGATCTCCATACGTTTCGTAAACTTGCAAAGGCAGCCCTAGCCTTCTTGATTCGTGCACCTACGTCGCTCTTGGTCCCGCCGTCCGACGCTATTTGGCTGCCAAGATATTGGAAACTTTTGACCTTCTCCACTGCTTGCCCCGCTACCGTAAAGTTGGAAGGGTTGCCCGTGTTGATATCCAACGATTTGGTCTTCTTGACGTTGATGGTGAGACCCGCCGCAGAGGAGCGTTCGGCTGCATATCAGAGCGCCGTTGTGCTAGTAGAGCAACATCATCAGCCAAATCGAAGTCGTTGAGATGCTCCATGGTGATAGGCTGCCAAAGCAGCCCACGGTTCGGTACACGGTCAATTGCACCTACCATGATCTCGTCGATTACGATGAGAAACAGTAGCGGTGATAGTATACATCCTTGTCTCACACCAGCGACTACCCGGATAGGGTCGGACAAGGCTCCGTTATGCAGAACTCTGCACGTGAAAGC